CTCTAATTATAGATGTATATTGGTCACAAGTACAATGAGTAGGCTTTTTAGGTCGATTAATTAGAGACATAATAGAACAAGAATATGGCCCTCACGAAATACAGGAACAAGCGGGATTTCAAGCCAGTCGATCTTGTATTGATGATATATTTAGCCTTATGCAGCTGAATGAGAAAAAAACTGCTACAGAGATGTCCACCTGCTCTTTGTTGACCTTATAAAGGCTTATAACACGGTTCCTGTCCAAAAACTTTGGCAAGTGATGGAAAACACTCAAATGAATAATAATGCAACAAAAACAATAAAACAGTTGTATCACCAGGCATCATCAAGAATAAAAATAGGATCTACTCTGTCCGATAGCTTCTCCATAACTGAAGGTCTACGTCAAAGCATGGCCGGATTAAACTTCCATGGGGCCCGGGGCTAGTAATGTTTTAGGGGCCTGTCATAAATTATAAATTAAGTGCAAAAAAAAATATATAAAAAAAAACCATATTCCTTGATATAACAGAAGACATTGCTATACCTAGATGTTTTACAAAAATAAGTCAAAATATCTTTTTTTCGTAACTTATGTTTAACAAATTCTTGCATGACATCAGTAAATTTTAATTCCTTCAGAATGTCTCTTTCTATGCACATCAATGTTAATGAATACTGGCGTTCTTGCTGCATTGTTATTCTATATTTATTTTTAATGTAAGCCAGTTTTGAAAAAGAACGTTTCGACTCACAATAATTGGTTATAGGTATTGACAAATAAATTCTTAAAGTAGTGTACGTGATTATTTGATGCATGCTTGCAAAATGAAGTAGGACAACCGCTAGCTGTCGCTACAACCGGTCATGCCACTGTGTTTCAAAGGATTTTTTGTTAAAAATAGGTTGAATTGTTCGGCTGAATAGTGCATTTAATATTTATTGTTTGCCCACAGACCCTTGACCAGCATAAGCCTCAACAACTAGACGCCTTAACGTGCGTGTTCATCTTTCACACTTTTCAAAATCTATTTAAATGAAACACTAAGAAAGTGGAGATGATCATGTAGTGGTATGGGGATACAACTGAATAACGAAAATACTCTATATATACACGCCATTTTGCAGACCAGGTGGTAATAGCCCACCCAGGATAAAGAAGACCTAGAATTTATGACAACAAGACTTCTTACCGAATATGAAAAATGGGGGCTATCGGTGAACAAATCAAAAACCAAATACTTATGCATCGGCCAAAACTCGGGAAACCTAACTTTAGACAATAATGTTGAAAATCCGCATGCGACAAATATACCTATCTAGGAACCCAAATAGATCAGACAGGCAGAACAGAAACCGAGATCGAAGCAAGGATAGTAAAAGGAAAAAGGGTAATTGGATGTCTAAACTCGATTCCATGGTCAAATCATATATCACGTGACAGGAAACGGCTTATATATAAAACTATATTCCAAAGCATAATCTTATATGGATGCGAAACGTGGCAATTAACGAAAAACCCTAATGTCACTCATGTCACTCGAAATGGACTTTTGGAGAAGATCTGCAAGAAAATCGTGAATGCAAAGAATAACAAACGAAAGAATAAGAGAAATCATGCGCAAGTCGAAAAACAATAATAGACGAAATACAAAAAAGACAACTGACATGGTATGGACACATAGAAAGAATGAATGACGAACGGCTTCCTAAACTAGTAATGAAATGGACACCCCACGAAAGAAGGAAACGAGGAAGGCCTTAAAACAACATGGTTCGGAGGTATTCAAAGAGCCATGTCGGAGCGGGAATTACATCCAGGAGATTGGGAGGATAGAAGGGGCTGGAGACTGGGAACCGGAAGGCGTGGGACGCTATAAACCGGAAAAAAAAATCGTAAAATGTAGGTCACTTACTCAAATATATCACAGACGTTGCTTTTTGCTGCTGTCTTTCTTGCACGCGCACTGTGTTTATCAAACCAAAATAGGTCCGAACGTGTGAATCCTATGGTTACAAGGATGAGTAAGTGACCTCCAACGTTCAACTTTGGTTAGACAGAGTTTACCGACAGAATAAATAAAGCAAATAATTTGGATAGATAATATTGGACAATAGTTAATGAAAAGAGGGGGAGAACATCAAACATCTCAAACAAAGTAAGTGTTTCTCCGTCAGAACTCATCAACTTTTACTGCACAGTGGCGGGTAAATTAACCAAAAACTTAAAACCGAACAAAGATCCAGTTTGAAAAAGTCAATGGAAACACCATTGCCCGTTTCAAACCTGTTTTGAACCAATGTCAAAAAAGTGAACGCGAGAAAACGGCCTTGATGTTTTTTTAGTGTTTCAATTCAAATTAAAAATACTATACAATGCTATATTACTTATTACATAATAGATATAATTGCCCCCCATTGAGTGAGTGAACCTTGGTAACCTATGAAGTAGCAGAGGGGAAGACGAAAACCTATACTATACGACGCGACGGTCCCCGACGTGGTGCATTGCGAAAATTGCGTTTACCCTGTCGCGACGGCCCGCGTATATATATTGAGCAAAACCACCTATTTAAAATATTATTTCTTTAAATCATAACTTAAAAAAAAAAAATGTTTACTGAATAAAATTAAATGTTGCAACCATGTCTGCGCCATCAAGTTTAGATGCCGGTTTTCCACCAAACCGACAAAACAAAAACATAACTTAAACTTAGACAAAACTCCAACTTTTCCCAAACATTTTCAAGATTAGCGTGTTTTGCGACAGTTGGAATTTTGTTTTTCAGGTTAATTTCGTGTTTTAAAACATGTTTTAAAACAAAAACTCAACAGTCCGTTTGGTGGAAAACCGGCATTAGAAAACGTGTTGCGTGTCTGTAATTATTCATTATTCAATTTTCATTTCTATTTTGTATTAAAATTGATTGTTCAATCCAATTTGTTATTAGTGTATGTGAGGAGAGATCACAGGTTAGTGGATTAAATGTTATTTTGTTTTTGAGAGTTCAATTTATGTAAGTTCCTATTATTTTGTTCATTTTTATGAATTTTTTGTTTGTTTATAACATTTTTTATAACATGTGCATTGTTTTATGTATTTAACCAAAATCGTTTCATGGTGTAAACAACACAGATAAAGAGTAAATTAAAACCTAAGAAATTATGTGCTGTCTTTTTGTGCTGATATTTTGATTTTGTGTATTCAGAGCGTGCATTAGAGCCTTGTTGAATTTACTAACATTTTCCTACCCTGACGAGAGAATATCCTAACAAATTGAAATAATCAATCTAGAGATATTGGCTCAAAAACAACCATAGCTGAGTAGCTTCCCGTATGGGACCTCAGTACCTGCTGGGAAACTGGCTAACTTACAAAAACTCTTCAGTATTGATTATAGGTAGTGTTGATTGAATGTAGTGTGTGTAATTAAAATTTTAGCACAAGAACAGGGGCGGTACCTAGTTTCAACTTTTATTGAATTAATGACTCACAATTATTATTTAAATGACACAGTATGTTTCGATTTTTGGGGAATGTTAGATCGAGGTTTTCTCTGCCGTTCTCTTTTCCCTCGAGAATTCTAGGTCGTGAACGGTTCGATTTACTTTAATAATAAAGTAGACGTTTCACAAATTTTTCGTTTCTTTTACATATCACAACTTCCCTTAAATTTCCCAAATATTTGCTATGTCGGGCGCATGTCCAGTAAGTAAAATTGAGTAAGTTTCCACAACGTGTAGGTCCTATTTGTTTTTCATTTCTTTTTTTCAGAAGATTTGTTGTTTAAAAGGTAATAAAAATTCTCATCATTCAGTCTTACTGAGCGAACCCGGGTATGTTATACTTCAGTATATTTAATCTCGGGCCAATCAGGAGGTTTTGCCCGCATTCCTTCCACACAGGTTCACTCACTTGTCGCACTTTACATAAAATAAGCCTACATGTGCCTTCTTCAGAAAAAGTTGAGTCTATATAGGAACTAGGAACCATATACCGTATTTTATTTAATAACTCACTAGAGTCTATTTGGTTATGCAAAAGTTTAAAAAGAAAAGAATTTGGTAATCTAAGTCTTCATGCTTCATGTTTCCAAAGAAATAACGTTAAATCTGTTCAACAATACATCATTATCAAAACCTCTGGTGGGGTAAACGCGAGGGTGAAAGCCATCCTGTCTGTATGAATATTTCAGAAATCTGCGCTGTACAGACTCAATAATATTACTATGAATAATTGGATAAATCGGTTGCTAAACAATAGATCCAAATTCTAATTTTGATTGAGCAAAGCTAAAATGAAGCAACTTTATTGTATCCGTATTTTGAAAAACTTTGCAGTTACGAATAATGAAACCTAATGATCTAGATGCAGATGACACTACGTTTTTTAAGTGTATTTTAAAGTCAAAATTATGGTCGAATGTGATTCCCAACTCCTTAATATTGTCTGATCTGTTGAGGGGTGATTATCTATTTCATAATTATACAAGATTGGATCTTTTTTACGAGTATAAAAAATTATGCAGCATTTAGATGTGTTTAGGTATAAGTTGATATTTTTGCACCAATCATTTGTTAAGTTTGACTTTTGTAGATCTTTGAATTGAGTAGAGCTTTCTTCTCATTTTCAAACATTCTAGCTGCTGAAAATATTGTAGAAAAGGCCTTAGTAACAATTGAAAAAAATTATTTTAGAAAACATGTTTCGATTTTGTTTAATTTTTAAAGGTAAATTGAAATCGTAAGTAAATTAATATTTCCATATTATTCATTTATATATTTTTTAGTTTTATTAGCTAGTGCAAGAATCGAAAAATCATTAAAAATCTGTGAAAACTTTTATCAGTAACCTGGAAAACTCAGTTTATAGTAAATTCGCTTATTTTTTCAAAAGAAGTAGTCCAGATTTTCTGTTTAAAACTCAAACTCCTTAGACTGAATGTTGTTAACCTAATTTTCTTAAGCAACTTTAAAAAGCTCCAAATTTTAAAAGTGTAATAAATTGTTCCACCTACCTGTTGTTGCACTGAATTTTCGAATCGTTCTGCAGCACTCTGTAGGCTGATAATAGGCTCCGATATACCAAGCACAAAAATCGCTTTGCAGACTAATATTCCCAATAGCCCAATCATGATCAAAATTGATTGCTAAACATTAAAACAAAAATCGCTTAATGGTAGTTCATTGGAGGCACGACTAAATCACTGGAATAACAATTCGCGAATTCACGTCGCCACAAAAGCAACATGGTTTATGTCCGGATGTGCACTTGACCAAAACTTAGGAAAAATCCCCGATCTTGAACGATTGAATCATCGCGAGAACAGGCAAATCGAATTGACCAGTAATAATAATATTTTTTTATATAAATTAGGTCTTGAGTAATTTTATTAAATTCGCCAACCACCAATCCAAATCTTTCTCTAATAAGAACAGACTTTATGTTGCACCGAGACCCTTTTACTTGTTATGCATCAAAATCTCTACGAGTGGCTCGCGACTTCTGCTAAGAACGGACTTTTTGTCCCACGCAAGGTACTGAAAATTAACTGCTCTAATTTGGAGAGTGTTAACGTTGGCGCCGTACCTTTCTGATAAGAAATAATAATTTACAATAGAACCAGAGGTTAACGGCAATTTAATGCCATATTTAAGTTTGCGTTCTATTTTTGCTCCATTATATTAATATCATTATTTGCCCGAACCATGTAAAAACAAGCTTACTGTAACTGAAAATTATTGTTTCCAGCTTTTCAATTACGTTTTGACCCTATTTGAAAATTCGTATTTTACCTATATACCTAATATACTTTAGATTTCAGACTACCTTCAGCCAAAACTAATACATACAAGTATGAGTATCGTTTGAAAAGCAAAGAACAGATTCATAGGTATAATGTAGCAATGCTTCTGCAAAATAGTAAGCCTCACCAGGGACAATATCTCGTTTAAGTAATTGCTATGATTTAAGTATCCATTGGCTCACTCCAGTGTCTTCGAATTTTAGGAGTATTTTCCTGGCTTGTCACCAAAAATGTAGATCTCATTTTTTCCATATCAGAAATACCTGGTGAGAGCCTCATTCAGTCTCCCCAAATTATAATGACTTGGTCAATTTAGGAGGTCTGGCATATAGTCAATTTTGAAGGAAGTTTCTCCAAGTTCTAAATGTTAGAACAACATTTTAAAGGTTTTTAAACCCTCCTGTATCCTCTATATTATAGAAAACCCACAAAATTTAATTTAGAATTTGTTGATCATAGAAGAGTAAATCTGTTAGAGCCATTGAGAAAGACATTGACAATAATTTCGCTAGCGTATATTGTTTAGTGAAATGGTAATGGATTTTTTTAAGTGTTACTTTAACTACGTCTGCGGTTTCCTTTGTTGTGTGTTTCAAGTTCTGCTATCAATATTTTACGTTTTACGTTCCATTGTACCCTTCCTTACTTTGTAGGGCGAAATACAGGTCTTTTAATTCTTAATTTGGTTTTACAGTTTAGTTTCAAAGTTTCTATTGAAAACTGTATATTTTCCACTGCAAACAAACAGTGAAATGGATATGCTTTTCACCCTTTCTGCGCTTATTATTTTATATTGGTTTATTACATTAGACTGAAATACATACTTACAAAAAGTTGGTCCTCGAAAAGATGACGGAGTGGCAGTAATAGTTATTTATTATACAAGGGAAAAAGTACTAGATTTAAGCGCGAGCTGATACTTTTTTTTCCTCGGGAAAAAAATTTGACTGGTACCTGTTACTTTTTTCCCTTGGGAAAATAAATCACTTTTTTTCCATGGGGAAAATTCACTATTTTCCATCTAAACATTATTCCCTTTGAGAAAAAAATTTGACTGGTACCTGTTTCTTTTTTCCCTGGGGCAAAAAACAAATCACTTTTGACATTTTTGCCCCTGTCAACAGGTACAAAAAGTCTATTTTTTTCCTGTCGCAGAAAAAGCACAAGACCCTTCGAAATGCAAAGTTATCAATGCATTTTGGCATTTGGCTAGGGTTCTCCTAAATCCGTTGATGTAGCCTAAATCAATCCATATAATATGTGAGGATTGTATGTTGTATGTGGTCCATTTTTTGGGCAGATGATAGGTTTGAAGAAAATCAATGTCTTGTAAATCCCAAAAATTCTTCAATTTTCTTGACAGAAATACTACCAGTTTCGAAGCTTCAACGATTCATCTTCAGGTACAAAAAGACTAAAAACCAAAGCGCACCAGATGAGCATAGGTTGGAGTTTTTAATAAACCAATCAATCTCTAAACATGGTTATATAACCTTAAGGTTATTCAGCCATACCACTTCTCAAGCTCCTTCACTATAGCTGGCACTATCTCAGCTTCAGTAGTAGAAATTGCACAAACAGTTTGTCTTTGACTCCTCCATGCAATAGCTCCTCCTGCAAATAGGCGAATCATGCCGGATGTTGAGTGACTAGTTTCTAGATCAGCATCAGTAAATGTCTCCATACCATTATTATTTCTCTATATTTTATACCATAGTTTAGAGTTCCATTAATGTATCTCAAAATTCGCTTAAAGGGGGTGTGAAACTGCCCTAATGCGGTTCAAATATTTATTCTTAGATTTTTTTGCACTAAAACTTTCATTTTTGGGCCACACACCCTTTAAGTTTAACATAATCATCATAATTTGGTTTATGAAGTTTCCTAGAAACAACACTAACAGCATATGCCAAATCAGGACGACTCCCACACATCAAGTACATAAGGGCCCTAACACCTTCTCTATATGGAATGTCATGTTCAGGTTTTGAAACTTGTTTTATGCTAGTTTTACACTGACAATTTAAATTGATCAATTTGTTTCTCAATTTATTTGCCAATTTATGTTGGCTCAACAATGGCTCAACTTCGCTTTACACCAGATCAGCTTGTTGACAACACAAACGACAAAAAAAAATTCTACCAACTTAACCAGAATTTCAAGGTTATGTACTTTTATTTATGGCTCACCCAGAAATATATTTGAAGATGTTTAATAATAAAACTAGAAGAAACTGAAGGTAGAAGAATAAACTGAACATCAACAAGTAAATGATAAATAAAAATAAATATCTTCACCTAGCTTTAATATTTTTAGAGTCATTTCTAGGTTGAAAGCCTGAATTGACACAAAAATTGACGGAAAAATAGAACATGCGCTAATCCGTCAATAAATTGAGCGAGATCTTGAACAAGTTAAATTGCCGCCAATTTGGCGTTTTACATTATCAATATTTCTTGACAACCGACTTGATCAATAAATTGACCAATAAATTGTCAGTGTAAAACCGTCTTTAGTATTGGTGTAGTAACAGAATTACATTTGTCCATTCCAAATCTTGCAAGTAGTTTTTTTTTTGAGCTTAAGCTCTCTGACTAACTATAACTTCTTCACTATTTTGTTCGATTTCTAAATCAAGTATAGTAAGTTCAATTTCCTTTTCCATACTTCTGAAAAACTCATTTCTCAAAACATCACTACTTGAAGCTAACAATCCATCATTTACATAGATTGACAATATAAATGTATCGTTTCGATCGTTTCCTTGTTTCCTAGTAAAAGCACACAAATAAATACATCAGTTGACTTGAATCCCATACTTTTTAAAACATCCACAAATCGTTTATTCCAGCAATGGGGATCCTGATTGAGCTCATAAAGACTTTTCTTTCATCTACAAACTTTATCAGCATTAACTTCATACCCCTCTGGCTGCTTCATAAAAAAATCTGCATCCTGATTGCCATACAAAAATGCAATAGCGACATCGAATTGTGTTAGGGTCATATTTTGGATTGCTGCGACACTTATGACAGCCCTAATAGATGCCAAATTTGCTACAGGGCTTAAAGTTTCATCATAATCTTGTCCGATCTTTTGAGAAACTCCTTTGGTTACAAGACGTGCTCCAATTTTTTCAACTGAAACCTCTTGATTAGTCTCAGCCTTGAATGCCCTTGAACACCCATTTACATAGAATTCCTGTTCTATCATGTGGCATATTTTGGAGAACCTATGTGCCATTCTCATGATGAGCTTGCATTTCTCTCTTCATTGGTTCAATCCTGAGTGGCTGAGTGGCCCTGATTTTCTGAAACATTTGAAGTAGCAGCCATGATAAAGTGTTCAAACTTTCGAGGCTTTTTCAAACTCAATCTATCACGCATTTTGTTTTTCATTGTCAGCTTTCTACATCATCATTTATTGAGTTGTTATTCTGCTGTTCTAATTGTGTGTCAACCAATAACCTACAACCACAGATAGGCGGATTTATAAACAAAAATATATGTTGACAACATGTCCGATTCTTTCTATCCTGACGAAACTCCCCCACTACTAAAATGCCACATTTAGTCGTAGGAATATTTATTTTCACTTTCTAACGCGGGTTTAAAGTCCTGCCTTTCAATTACACTTAGCAACACAGTACTAGACTAAACTCCGCCTTATGCTTTGTCATAGTAGTACGTTCCGTTCTCGCCCAGAGTATCTTGTTGTCTATATCTTATGCGATGATGATTAGTACATGTTTAAAAAAGACCGATAAATAAGATATGTTCGTGTTGGTCTGGAATACTTTTCGAATATCATCGTTTTGGTTTTGGAGCGGGACCAATTGCGTCTGGTCCATGGCAGGGAACAGCTGTTGAGGCCGGACTTAGATCGGGCGACTTATCCCCATCATGGACCGCCCGCACCCCAAATCCCTCCTGGCCAAAAAACATGTTGTCAACACAACAAATAGTATTTTATGAATGGAATACTCTGTCTATCTGTGATAATAGGTCATTGGTGTCACCACTTTGCTGACGTTGATTTTCATTTATATTGGTGTCTTCGCTATTCTCTTGTAATTTTTCACATTCTTTTGTAGCTTTAGCAGTTTCAAAAGGGACATTAAACGGAAAAACTGCTATGCCAGATCTATTATTTTCATAATATATTTTTGAAACCTGATGTGGAGAACATTTTTTTTCATCTATCGTCACATCTTGAACGAGTCTATTCTTTTGTTTCTTTACACCAAATTCGATAACCATCATCATTTTGATATCCAACCAAAGTTACCTTTTTGGTTTTCTCATCCATTTTCCTTCGTTTGGATTTTGGAACATGAGCATAACATGCACTTTCAATCATTTTCATGTGTATCAGTCTAGGTTTCTTACCAAACTAAGCTCGATAAGGAAATATGTCTGGAACAC